TCATGACAACCGACCGCACACCAGTAACTCGATAAAGTTTCATCTTCAGACAACTGTGAAGACAGTTTCGCATTTCTGACAGAAGAAGGTCGGCCATTACTTTGGAAACAATGTCTGTCAAAAGATTTGCTTTGTAAACATTAATACACACGTCAGCAGCGTACACCCATGGGCAAATAGTAGACGCTAAATTAACCAATCAGAGCGCGCGCTTTGCTTTAGTTATGTTGTAATATCTATTATATAATTATCGGGTAAATTTTGTAACGGAGAGGATAAAGAGGCTGGAAACTCCAAAAGGTCCAATTCACGAGGTGGTTAGATTAACGGAGCTTCAAATAAGAATTAAGTTCATGGGGTGGTCGTAAGGCAAAGTTCATCGTATATAACGGTAAGTGCATCTACTATACCGGAACGGTCAGGATCTCAACCTCGTTCCCTGGGCCCAGGCCAGGGAAAAGGTCCTGGGAACGAGATTGTCAGAAGCTGTGACCAGAAGAGGCCAAAAAGGTGGTCTACGGGAATTCACACCTGCTCAACGAAACACTGAGAATCTCAGCTTTGACTTTAGACCAAAGAATTAAAAAGAAATGTTTCCTAGCTTTAACGAAGAGAGAAAGTCGGTGCTTGGCTGTAAAGATCTTTAATTAAATTTAATTTCCATGTTTTCCTTCGTGTTTTTCAGTATAGCACTTTGGCTGGGGCGCTGCACAGTCTTGCTAATGCTGAATGTGGGGATTTGCTGCTATCTCTGTGCTATGTTTCTAAGGATCAAACTCTCACTGTTGCTATTATGAAGGGAATTAACCTGGCGCAAGGTCTTCTGACTCCAGTTGGTTAGTCATAACTCATATTTTATGGTTTTAAGTGTTGCTTAACACCAGAGTTATTTATCATTAGCTTGCAGTGTAAGCGTTTTGAAGCCGTGAAGGATTTAGCCTGCGTAGCAAGCGTTCCCGTACGAAGACCATTTCCGCATTCTGGCCGCGCGTAAATAATTGGAGCGAGAACAAAAAGATGACGAAGCAGGGGGTGGTGGGGGGAGCGAGGAAATGCGGAAAAGCTCTTGGTACGGGACCGCTTGCTACGCAGGCTATGAAGGATGAGATCAGTCAAAGTGAGGATGTCCTCGTCTCTTCTTCTCAGCACTATGTTTTTAATATGCCACATACGATTTACAGCTGTGTGCCGTGTTGCCTGGCCTGTGAATGTAAGCGAGGCTGGAGGTGACCTACCTCTGATACAACTGTTTCCGCTTTTCTCATCTAAATGCAAACCAGTTTTCTTAAGAACAACTTTATTTACCTTACAAAAGCAGCCAGGTCTGTGTCAAAGCAAGGTCACCTCCAGCCTCGCTGTCATTCAAAGGCCAGGTCACTGGGCGGACAGCTGTAGCTCTCCTAGTTCCTCCCCAGCTCTCCTAGTTCCTTTACGATTGATTCAAACGCACGAAAACAATGTTCTAGGCTGACTTTTTAATTGAATATATTCGACGTCAAGACAAAATTCAGATCGCGTTTGTCATTTTACTCACGATTCTATGCAGAATACAAAATTTTTATTCAATCTAATTAAGTCGCGCACATAGGTCACGTATGAGATCGACTTAAAATTGCGTCTCCTCCTTTTCATTTGCACAGAAAAATTATACACAAAAGCTACACTTTTCCATGACGACCACAAACTTGGCAAAAGGAAAACAGCTTTGCAAGAAATCAGACAGCCCTTCACGGTTTTCAACGAAGCTTTGCTATTCCGTGTCCCCGAAGAAAAGCTGCTCAGCTGCACGCTGAAAATCTCCGTCAACCATTACAATGTCATGGGTAAAAGTTGTTCCGTGGGAGAGATCAGCTTCAGCGCGGAGTCGACTGGGCTCGAGGATGTGCACTGGTCCATAGTGACTTCCAAACACGATAAACCGGTCACAATGTGGCACACACTACGGGGCTTTAAGTTCATGGAGACAGGAAGAGATGACAGATCCCAGCCTCTGTCACCAAGTTAACCTTTAAAAACCAAAAATGTCATTAGTGAAGAACTTTTTCAACTCTATATTCAATACAATTTTGATCGAGCCTAAAATCCGTAGACGGAGAACTGGGCTCTGTATTGCACAAAATTTGTTGGGAAAGAGTGTCTTTTTCGGGATCAGACTAAAGCCCCGGCCAAACGATCGCAACACTTCAACACAACATGTCGCAACATTGTTGGGCACAGCATGTTGCGCGCGTTTGACCACCCTGTTGCGACGTGTGGCGACATGTTGGGTGTTGTGAAGGTGAATTAATCAACATGACACGAGCGTGGGACAAAGAAAAATTCTGAGTCCCCGACAGGAATCGAACCCATGACCTCCCGAACACCGGGCGGGCGCTCTATCCACT